AAGCAACTTTAAGCCGCGGCTCATTCAAAGACACATCTTGAGCACCCAGTCGACCGAACCTTAGGCAATACTTGTGTGCTACACTTGCAGCTTTCGTAAGGGGCTGTCGGTCAGAGTCCAGTGAAGCCAGAAGCCAGTGATCCGCGCATTCACTGTGTGCGCGGTCTATTCCAAACGTCCGGAGACCACACGAGCTACTTATGTTATCAATTCGATTTACTCTACAACGAAATAAGTAAGAGAATGCCTCTTCATTCAGGAAATGTAGAGCATCCTTCGTTCTCAAACTGTGGAGATCTTCTGATTTAAGACCTGTGATTGAAGTTTCGCTCGTTTAAGGAAGTTCGCTGAAGCTTGGATGCGTTGCTTGTTTTTAATTCGTTTATTAGTTCAAATCAACCCTTTATTAGATCAAGGGATACTATATATAGTGTAAACATTATAACTGTGAATCATAGTTAATTGGTACTGCATAAAGGAACTTATTATTAATTAAGATTAGTATTAGTGAAATTATTTTAATATAAAAACGTTTAAAATCACCTGATTACGCTGGCGATCAATTGCACCATAAATTTGCAAATAGAAAATTTTTGCCTGTCCTACGTGTTTCGCATAAGTTCACTGTTCTTTATTAGTTTCTACCCATCCCAGTAAATGGTACCGATAGCCTGATCCTATCATGATCTGTACTGTTGTATGGCGCTAAGATACAAAGAGCTCTTTACAACTATACATATATACTGCACACCACAAACTAAGTTCAAATTGTACACAAAAAACAACTATTAGGCTTCAAAGTAATATGCAAAAGTTGAGTGAAGTTGAATTTTTAGAGAGGTTCATGCAGAATTTAGGGGCCTTAATGATTTATTCATTGCATCGACAGTTAACCGTTGAGCTGCTGTCCAGATCCTCGACCATCTTGGTTAAGAAAAGTATATATACTATATATATGCGTGTAAATTGAATCCCTCATTGCTACAGGGACTAAATGCGGACCAGCTAATGTTGACGCTAAGAGTTAACACAAATACGTAGGTAAACGGGGATCGATATTTTACCCCACGAATGACCAGGGGCATAAACAGATCTATCTGGATTACCGCGCTCTAAGTGACACGTATACTGAACGCGAAATAGCGAAAACCGGTGCCCATGGCCTTTTACGTTCCTCTGTCAAGGCCAAAATCGACTCTGGACCAATAATTTTCCAAACTTATCTGCTTTTGGATCGTTAGATAAAGTCGTACGTGAGTAGTGTACGTCTCTATGGTGTGTGATACGTTGACGTGAAATGTATGGGATTTTATATTTTGGTTAACTGTATTGCGATTGTCTTATTTCAACAGCTGCATCGAGCTTCAACAAGCCAGCATGGAGCACAGCTGCTTGTGGAGTATTGCTATTATATGATGTAATAGATAGGTTTCGAGCTTCATGGGAACAAATAGCTGATGCACAGACCATGGCAGCGCATGTCCTACGCCTGAATGATATAGCAGATCACTCAAGCTATGAAAAAATTATCGCTCGAAGGAATCGTCTCGGCTTCTTTCGAAAACTTCAAATGCGTCGAACGGCACAAGTATCATAAGATCATATGATCAAAGGTGGGTAGTTATATTTTGAAAAAGCCCTCTGTCGCTATAATTACAGAAGAAAACGACTTGCGATAAGAAAAACTACGCAAAAGGAACGCCACAAAGTAGAGTAGGCCCATTGAACTGGGTTCTTATGTCTGTCGAATCTATCTGCGAGTATTGTTCCGCCTTCGTTGGAATGGGTGGATTGTACAGAGGCGTCATGGCGTCCGATGACTTCCATCGACCCTGTATAGCAGAGCATATACGAAAATGAATGTTGTCCGCGTGATAGGAACAGGCAGGCATCCAGGACATCACTGGTCGTTAGAACAGGGACTCATTCCTTTGAGCCAGTACGGTCTTCACCTTTGTGTCTGTGCGTCTGTGTGATGGAAGCTACCCTACGTCTGCAGCCAAGAGATCATTCTGTTGGAACACGCCGACTCTAACAAGACTTTTAGGACAGTCAAACTGCTGGGCGTCGAACCAGCTACCTCCAAATCGTGTTGCTCCCCCTAAGGGGAGCCTGTTCAAGCCTGCGGGCATCCTTAGCGGAGACACGTGTTCAGGATTAGCGTCTACAGTGCAGTTCGCGCATGACGCCTTCGGGAGGTAAGATTAGCCATCTAGCCTTGCTGTACTCGATACGGTACGGAACAAAAGCAGGTACAGAGTCTGGATGGTATACCGTAGGTCAGCACCTACCAGCAGAATTAGCGGTGAAAACCTGGGTGATGATACTTACTCTTGAGGACGCTAGTGCGAATGGCCTATGCACAAAAGACCACACGAAGCTGGCAATACTGCGCGAACAGATACAGGAACAACAACTTCCTCCCTTTACTGGAACAACTTCCCTTTATCCTAGGCCGTGCTGTTTTATTCATCGGCGTTCCGCTCACATTATAGAGATGACTGAATGGGGTTAAAATGGGGACACAGCAGCCCGAGTAGAGGCCAAGCACGGTGTCAGCGTTCCGCGCGGCATGTATATATTTATATCTAGAATGAGAGAGAGAAAGTTGTGCCCTCTGTAAGAGGACTGTGTCGAGGAGATAGTGGCAATAAGGTTACGAGATACTCGAAGATGATGCTAAAGACGGAGGGGTGTCTATGTAGGCACGCGCGTGTCGCTGAAGGCTAGGGGAAAAACAGATAAAGACGCAAGCGGTCTGCTAACGCAGAGGGAGGGCTAGCTGGCTGGCAGTAATAACAAATGGGTATATACATCGTATGAATAGCGACGGAGTGAGAATGTGCAATAATAACAACAAGCTGATTGACAATAGCGGCTGGTCACGAATGGTCGTGAATGCAGCACAAGTATTTTCTTGAAGGCACAAGACTGTATCGTTCATAGATAAACATCTCTCGTATTGACGAATTGATCTCAGCAGAGTAATACTGACGTACAGCTAGGTTGGAAAAGCGCAAGATTGATTGTAGAATGTTCAGTATCCGGTAAGTACTCAGGTAGGACGAGTTAAGGTAAACGTAAATATGATGGGTAAAAAAATCTCCAGTGAAACAACATATTAGTAAATTGTTAGGGAGTATACAGTGACTACAAATAGTGCTATTACGATGCCCCTCCGCCTTGGTGAATTCAAATTTAAAATTGGGTCTAATAATATGGCAAACATATACTTGTTAAAAGGGCGTTCGTATTGTTGTGAGGTTAAATTCTGAGATCGCGGCTGGCTAGACTACTACGGAAGCATATGCCAGAAAGGTTTCCGTTTATTAGGAACGACAATTAGGGATATGAAGACGATAAGATATGCCTAATTCTAACCATAGGCTACGCCAACTAGCAATGTTACTTATGTATGTTATATGGCTGAGGGGTCACGGCAAACCAAGTAAAGTTACGGAGGAGTTGTGATTGCAAAGCTGATACCTGTAGGAGTCGATCGAAGGACACGACCAGAAGTGGAGCCTGCTGCTGAGTCAACAGGGGAAAGCTTTATGTAGATAGAATATTTGTTTTGCGGTTGAAGATAACCGAAGCGCTCTCATCTTGAACACAGCGGAAAATAGGTATATAATCACTTCGTAGTGAGTAGCTTCGATGGTTAGTGCAAGTTCAAAAAGAAAGCCGTCCATTCGACGGTTTCCCGGTCTGTACATGCATCGAAAGCCGAGAATCAAGCATCTATCGATTCATCCTACGTCGAGTAACGCAGATCCGCATGAGCAGAATCCGTGTTTCTGCTATCTGAGAAACGAGCAGTCACGATAAACAGGGGCGCAAACTTATTCTAGTAACAAACACTTGTTATCCAATAGGCTGTAAACATGGTTGTACGGACACACAGTTGTATGCAACTTTTATCTCAAGCATCAACTCTTGTCACGATGTCTCCTTGTCGATAGCAAACTTTGAGCTTCAAAGCTTTACTTGCTGACAGCGATAACGACGGCGTAACCGAGCCATGATCGAATCTACGCTACGAATGTCATAGTCATCATTATATGCGGTTCTGTCAAGAGCATTGATGATCATTGTCCTATGTTCTTTCTGCCATTCGTTGCTAATCTGTTCCTACAAGCGGACGGTGCATACATAACCTCACAATATGGAAATTGCTTATGAATTTACATATATGGTTGACAAGATTTCTGACCCAACAACACGGACCGAAGGCTAGGTGAGTATACGTGTCGGGTTTACCGAGTGATAACGCAGCAACAGAACTCGTTTGAAGGACGAATAGTTACTAACGTGAACTAATGAATAGATTGTACGTGTTGAAATAGTTTGATGTTCGACAATGAGCGGTCCACCTTGTAAGAAACAGGTTAGTTTTTTAGAACCGGATGCCCAATTGGTGCTTCTGACCTCGTCCTTATCACGGTAATTTCCTAATGAGTTGAAAATTAACGAATCATTCGATTGTGTATCTTCGAACAGTATCCTACGTTGCTATGATGCCGCTGTCCGAACAAGCAAAAATTAAAACATTAAATACTCAAACAGAATTTGAACACGATGTATACGTTTAACGATACATTCAACTAGAAGCAGATAAACACGATAATAAAATCGAGAATTAGTAGAAATGAAGCCACAGCAGAATTGATATCGGGCACCCCTTGCCCTCACGAACTACTGGACAGACGTTGGAAACTGTCGACTTTCAATGCGAAGTAAAATGCAGGCTCTAGTCGAAATGATCGGCTCGTTTACAATGACGGTACAGAAAACAGACACACCGCACGCACCTCAGGGACAACTGCTGATAGAGAAACGCGACGAAATCAAGCCTTATAGTGTTTGCTGCGACGGCCTTTATGGTCCTCGCGGCGTCTGCTCTAGGCCCTCTTGAGATTCCTTTGTGTTGTTTACAACTACTACATAAATTTCGGACAAGAACATGCGTTCATCCTGTTTCGCCCATAGGCTCAGCCTTCCGTTTTAGCCCGACGGCTTTTCTTATTTTGAGGTGCTGTTCGCGACTCATACAGCTATCGAACTCCTCGAGAAGCAAAAGAGAGCAATCAATGATTACGGACCTGCGTACAATACATCCGGAACCAAAATCGTATGGTCGTAAGATTTTATTTTGATAACGCCTGACGCCCAGGCTCGTTGGGCGCGATGGCCCAAATGATAACGTTTTCCAGCTAACGAATTTGAAGGCGCCCAGAAAACACAGGACTTTCTTTTGTGAAATTTCTACCCAGATGCATAACTGTCCAGGTGATAAACAGGAGTAAAGTTACTCTCTATTGTTTCACACTAAAAGCCTGCTGTGGTATTCGATTGTACAAGAGTCAACCGGGACCGTCTTTTGAAAGCAAGCGTTCCGTGCTCGTGCATCGTCCGAATGAAGTCACATGCGTAATTGAAAACGCGAGTGGAATAAGGTATAGAGACTTTATAATAAAGTCTTGCCATCTGTTCCGACGGCTAGACCCCCTAACCTCAATTATAAGGTATTTTGCTAGACACAAAACAATGCTTGCAATACGATTCAATTAATAATACAAGGTTGCTTTGTCATCTGCTCCGCGTTTCCTGCGGAAGCATACGTTCTGCGCTACCAACTACACTTGATGCTAAGTGAAATAGCTTTATTATATATTTAAAAATCAATAAATACACACGAATCAATAATCATTCATCTCATTTCTAACGTTATTTATTTAACAAGCTTCATGATTATATATCCAAAAAAAAATATGGACCATAACACTAAAATCTTAATGTTATCGAAAGTAATGAGTACAAATAGAGCATTTGACGAAGACCGTATTAGGCAACTGTAACTAGTATGTTTTAATAAGGCATTGCGGAACAAGTTTCTGTATCCTAGGTCGGACTAGAAAGTTGACTGGCGAAATCACCAGTTCTAAATTGCTTTGCCCCGACCGAGCCCACTTTCCTTAGTCCAGTTTCATCCGGGATGTTTGTGTACAACTTAACAATATTTATGAATCACATATTCTAGGCGTACGCAGTAAATTGATTTGGATATTCGAGCGGACCCGGCATCTACACGGGGGCAGTATTGAACGACATAAATCTGCTTAAAAATGGCATAGTTTCTATAAAACGCTATTCTGTAAACTCGACCTTAAACCAGGCTTTTATTATTTACATATCGAGCCGCTTCCCTGTCGTCTGCAGTCTCCGTTCATCGGCTGCAATTGCTATTAACGGCTTCTGGGTTCGTTAAAGAAGCAACAGGAAGGTGCCACTATGGAGGAATAAGGTGCAGTTGCAAACGGCATGGATCAATTTTTGTTTAATATCAAATTTCCCCCATGGGCTACGTAGCTAGTAGCCGGTCCCCTTGGGGTTTGAGATGCGCTACTCCCGTTGCGATGTGTGCAAGTGTGCATGTTGGATGAATGAAGCTACAGCGTGACTGGACGCGAAGTGAAGGCTGCTCGGTAGCAGACGAAGCGAGGATGTCTGCGCAAGCTGATGAGGTGAGCGATGCACTCATTTTCGAGACGGTACGATGATAAAGGCAGCGTACGGGCGCTACGACAGAACCAGCGTCGAATGTAGGTTAGCCCTTATTTACACGAGTACCTAGAACAGAAAGTCACAGTAAAGAGTCGACCAGTTACCGTCCTGAAAATTCATATCGACAAACAGAATACGCTGAGGGCAGGTAATATACAGCTAATGCAAGGAACCTGGTAAATTATAGCGCTTCATTGTAGAGTCAGAGCCGTAGCGATTAGTTGGGCGTCTCATGAGGCCGGTAATACGTGGCTGATGTATGCTCTCGGTAACGCACCGTAAATGATGGAATTGCCCACATTCGAGCTACCGACGACAATAGGATACGTAAGTTATTTACCTATGCTGGTTTTTAAAGCAACATATATATATATATATATATATATATATATAGCTCACGGTTCTGTTAAGCAACCTATGTGCCTACCGAACTTTGCGAAATGTACGCGCTAAGCCTTCACCAAACGTACTATCATTAACGCATAGTTCTTTAGCACTTAGCCACTGGCGAAAGAGTTTTTTTTAAAATTATTTTGTAATTATTTTTGATCAGATACGGAAACAAATTTAAGGTACTGATAGCTTAAAAACTGACTGGGATTCGAGCTCTACTTCAACTGATGGACACTGTTTGGTTCGCCCAGCATCGGACTATAGTTTGCCTCAAATAAAATCACTCACCCAAATCAAATGAACGCATCCATACCACCGCCCACTGGCAGCCCCTGGCACCGAGGCAGGATTGTAATGGGTGGACAGGAGACGGCCGCGAAAGATAGATAGAGAAGCATAAGTACGACTTAATGGGGTTGTTTAGCTCAAATTTCACTCTTTCACCTGTTTATATTACAACCCCGGGATAATGGGGACTTTTAGCGCCGTTTCCTCTCTACTGAGGTGTTCTTCAGGGCGAACAGAGTGCCTGCCCCCGACTCAGCAAAATCAACGAGACTACCGAACGCGCTCTATAGGGTTCCAGCTTGCCAGTTCTACCGAAGCGATCGTATACAAGCAAGAGCCGACGGCAGCACCTCCGAATGTAATCATGTTATCATCACATCGAAATAGAGATTGGGACGACTGGTAATGTTCATTGCAGCCACTGCTGTTGTCTGCGTACAGAATGAGTACCTTTCACCTGCTGACAAGGGGTCGATTCAAGGGAATTCGTATCGCTTTTAGCCTCGCAGCTATCGGAAATCCAGGATAGCCGACTGAAGGGGAGACAAGAGGGAGATTCGTAACCGACTAGGGCGGGTGACCTTTTGATTGAATTTGAAGAAGGCATTTTGCCATTGACTTGGTCACACATCACTCTCCGTAAGCTTGATGCTTTCAACCGAGTAGAGAACGATGATGAAATGTAAGTAGAACTATGCCGAGACGTACGTCTGCTGGCTGTGTGTGTGTGTGTGACAGGTAAATCTGCTAAGTAAGGATGGCCTCACGCTGAGTTCAAAATGGATTGATAAATTTAACAGGCTAAAATGATGGTTATCAGATCAGGCTTATTAAGTCCATTGCATCACTAGGGAAATTCTTCTTTGATAGGCATACGTTGTGCAATAGTAACGTGTTTTCGGCTAAGATTAGGGATGCACTGTGTCTAGGTTCGAATTCACGCTTCCTTTGATGCTAGGGTTACCCGCGTCTATGTTACGATTTAAGTACCGGAGGTAAAGCTTTCAGTTCTTCACCTGCGTTCACTAGTAGCGATGCGTTTGGCTTGAACCATGATATTTTGCCCAAAACATGGTAAAGCTCTCGGTTACCAATGAGCAAAGCTCAGACTAATATAGTAGAGAAAGGAGTGTGAGATACCAATGTATACATAATAATTAGGTCGGCTGCATTATCAATTCATTGAAATTCACTATCCGAAGGTGTTCATATGACTGAGTTAAAATCTACTCGTCTAGCTAAAGGCTTAGAAGACATACATATAAATTTTATTTGTTGTATCTTAGCCAGAGGGTAAAGGGGGATATTCCTGATTAGTCTACACAGTTAGTTGTTTCTCTTGCTTCGCTCCTGTCGTAATTCTTTACAGACGTTTCTGAACCGAAGCTCATACGCATAGGCAGGCGCACGAGACGTTTTCCGACTTAAATCGACCTAATAGGTCAAGTCACAAATTACGCGAAAAAGTGACACCTCTAGCGTAGCGTAGCGTAGGCGCATAGATCGGGCACGGGGTTCTTTGGGCAGGTGGTTTCGAAGCGTTTTAGCGGACTGACATAGTTAACTGTGTTTAGCTACCGTTATCTGCCTATCGGAGAAGCTAAATATAGAGATTTGTGGCGTTGCCGCTATGATCGCGCAAGATTCGTCCCGAGGGGCAGACGATTACATTAGGGAAGGCGGGGGGGCGATATACCTGAATTTGTTATCTTAACCGTTGTTTGTGTGACTGATATTTAAATCGACATGTTTAGCTGGTCGGCCGATATCGTAATAGATTGTGGTACAGAACTGATTTTGGTGGATCACTAATTAATCCTCATACATATATACGTTCGTTAGTCAGGTGGGAAAATGGGGGCATATTGTCTGGAATAGATTGGCACAACGATGCCCCTGAGTGTCTAATGATAGTGATAAATGTAGTAATCTAATTCGTTAATAAACACGTATAGATTGACTGCAAATTGAGGCAAAGTTCGGTGCGTGATTTTTGTTCTTGCTCCTTGTAGGCCCGGCAGGACCAATTTAATTATTGGCAAACTCCTTGAATGGTCAATTCCTATAATGACCGATGGTCTTTGTGCTGATAGCAACACTCGGACGGGTGTAACGCGTGTAGACAGCTACCCGGCGTAGTTCCGTATGCATCCCAGCCTCCCCGCATGCGTCAGATGTGAATCTATCAGTGCGAACCAAGAAGATTACGTACCTTAGCAACTAAACGATCAAAGATAGCTTTCAAATACCGCATGTCTATCAGAAGCTCATCATTAACATATGAAAGCGATCAATGACGGGACGATAGTTTACTGATGATTCATGTAACTAGGTTTCATTTGCCAGGATATTTCGATTCTGAGAGGGATTAGCCAAAGCTACCTACTACGTTTTTTTTACGTTAGCGTTTCTCTACCCGGATTATCTTCGATTGAATAACGGAGTAACTTTATCGATAACGATATTGGCTTACGAACGATTCTAGCTCCTGAGGATGTAATTTCACTGTATTCTATTAAACGTTTAGCCTTTTGCGCGTCCACGTAGGCCAGTTCAACGGTGCTCATCTTATTAGCAGTAGTATGATGGCTTATTATTTTATTGGTACCAACAAAACATTGACGTTTATAACGCGATTTTTACGGACCGCAGGAACTTTCACATGAGCCAAGATTATGCCAACTTAAACTTACACAAATACATACAATTTGGCCGGTAACAATACACATATAACTTTGACCCGTTTCAGTTGCTTCAATATTGTTTATTGAGCATAGATGACAGAAAGCGCTAGGGCTTCACGGAGTTCTGCCGATGCTCAAAATCTTTCCGGCTCAAGCCGAAAGCCGTCATTAAGATTTGCTGGGCTGGTCTGTTGTTAACGGCTAATGTGAAAACAATCTAAGTAGCACCTAATATAAACGGCTTGCTATCACTTAGTACGCGTTAGCCTATAACACTCAGGCCCAGCTTGACCTTAAAGTTACCCCACCTGTTACTGCACTCAACGCATAATATTCAGAGGTTTGAAAAGGTCTCTTTGAGACATAGTAGAGGACGCCCTGTCCTGCAACCTGCTGTTAGGACGATACAGGATGCGGACATACGCGCGTCGTCGTCTAAGCCTATGGACGCACAGGCCGACCACTCCTCACCATTTTAGATGATATACATATGCCCGTTGCCTGCTACGAATAGGCTTGTCTCGTTTTTTTTTTCTCTTTTCCTTTCTACCACTTTCATCCTCTTTTCGCATCTGTGTTATCTATTGACCATTTTTTCAACGGGAGAGCCGGTTCCTCACCATCACCGGTAAAACCTACAGCAGCCGCTCCAGCGTCAGCGGTGGTCAGGATAAGTTCAACGGCAGCGTACCTTACCGATGTCTGCGCGCGTCTATAAAGTTTCGCGAGCGCCAGTTGCTCTTTTGCTGTTGTTAGCCTCTACCCGTGACGCCCCGGCCATCACCGACGGATGCCGCTGCGCAAACGTCGTATCGATGATTTCTCCCAACCGCTTGCTATCTGTTGCAGTCACTCGACCTATCGCGTCTTGTCGAACATTACGTACGCTGTTGGACTTCGCTCCCCTACTCAAATCCAAATAGTCGATATACATTATATTAACGCACGTGAGGATCCGTAGACTTTCACATGTTCGTCTCGCTACTCCGCTCTGAGCTCTGATCTGACCGTCACTCGAACTCGGTACAGAGATAGCTCTGTTTTTACTCAAACCTCGGAAACAGAGCCAAGTTGCCTAGTCTGGTAACCGTCAGTTTTTCTATGGCATTTTAACATTCAATGTCATGTAACGTTGAGTACATCTCATCGTACCTATGGCATTTTCATAGTAGTTGTTTCTCATTAATTCTCAGAAGCTTCTGATAGCTGTTGTTTGTTCCAGCATTCTGGGCAATTTTTTTCAAGTAACGTTTCATAACGCGTGACGTATGGCGTAGCGTTTGTTATGGTATCGCCAGATTAGTGTAGCGTTATGGTCGCGCATTTGGCGGTGGTGATGATGCTGCTGAGGTCCGTGGTGGTCTATGATCGTCTGTGGTGACGGTGACTTCTGCTACTGTTATAATTATTGTTGTTACTGCTGATCCAGACTTGCCAGTGGTTGTTTGTCTCGTCCTGCCGGCTACAGCGCCGCCGTCGGGAAACATCGCTCATGCGCCGTCCTGGAGATTCCACTAGTAGTGGCTGGTAGCCAGGCAATGGCTGCTTTGCTTGACTCCATCGTCTCTGGCAATGAGGCCGGTTCGTTCAGTCGACGCAGTCTTAACGAGCGCGCGGCGGGAGTCCCGCGTGAACGACGAAACACCACCGACTCGCTGAATGAAGTTGGCGACCCTGTGACCGGACAGCTCAGTCAACGAGCGGCAATCAAGCAGACGCAGCCGGCAAGGAAACCCGGCCAGACGCGAGCATCTGAGACAGCAGACAGGCCCATAGAACGAGCGAGCCGCTGAACGGACGCTGAGTCAACGGAGGACGAAATCGAGGGCTAGTAGATCTTCGTCTGAAGTCGGAACAGAAAAACTTGGAACTGACATGAGAGACGCTCAGAGCAGCGATCAAAGCCGGAGCCGACTAACTTTGCCGCTGCCTATCTATTTGGCTGGATGATACCATTGCTTGGCTACCACTGCCGACATTACTGACTATTATTAGCAGTCGTGGACTGGCGTGAGCTACCGCGTGCAGTCTGGTCCGTCTCAGCGAAAACAAGAATCGGTCAGGCAATGGCCCATCCATATGTATGATACATCGCGGAGAAGTTGCAGGGCATCGAGTCCTTGTCGTGGTCGTCTGGTCGTTGTCTTTGTTGTTACCGACACAAAAAAGACCCACAGTGAGGAATCTCCGTGCTCCATGCACTGCACCGCTATTTAACAAACCGTCTGCGATGACGATAACACACGACTTGACAGACGGCAACTGCACCACGGTGACGGCAGCAACAAAAAGCGGCCCATCTTTCCTGCTCGGCCTGGCCGGTATCGTTCGTCGCTTCAGAACAGAAAAATACAGAAAACATTGAGAACAGCGAAGCCCAAACGAAGGAACACAGCCGCCGTGGTAGTGATAACGCTCCGCCGAGATAACGAAAACGATAGGCGCCGCGATAGAAAGAAATTGTTTTGCTGTGTCTGCGACCGCGTTGCTACCAGCCTACCATCCAGACGTTGCTAATTTCGTTAACCACTTACTCGACATTGAATATGGCTTAGTAGTCATTGGTTATGAGAGTGGACGAAGCCGACAAACAAGCGATCGCTAGTGTGGGACGATATCCATTTAGGCATCGCGGGTCCGAGGAAGGCGAAAAACAGGACGAAATTTCTCTCAGGATTCGGTATAACAGCTGTAGTTTACGTATGTGGGGCAAATGAAACGTGCTTCCGAAAATACGCACTGTTAGGCTGAAGCTTCGAAACGACTCATGTTTTGCTAGCTTATGCCGTCGAACAATGGACAAAACGCGAAGGATCAGTAATAACAATTAATCACTATCGTCTATTTGGCATCAACAACGAACGCTTACGAGCTGGTCACCGAAAAAAAAAGAAGAGCACTCTATTGTCTTCATGCAAACTGATTACTATTCATATAGTGTGTAATTACTATTTCCTTTACGTGAGGATGTGTTATGATGCAAAAACAAGACCTCATGACTGCAACGATAAATACTCTATACGTATACTACTAAAACTAATCATACCAAGCACTAACAAATACCCTACTATACGAGATCTGATATAGCCACAGGATAAACACAAGGGGAAACTGACCACCCTAATTGCCTCCTACCTCAGCTTGCAAATCAATGGCCTTATACGTCACGGCCAAGCACTAGGACACTACTAATTGTGCTTTACTAAGCAAAATCGATTCGCTCAACTCAATTGAAGTTATCCATTCCGTTCATATAACAGACTATCCAATAGGAATTCTATAATTTTGTTAGCCGGT